TCCACCGAACCGGTTAAAGCGCCAGACATTCGCTTTTCGTCCTCTCAATTTCGTAAACAACACCCGTATTGTGAAAAAGCAATGAGTAGGACTTCCCTGGCAGAGGCTACATACGCGTGGCCATGTGAGAGCATTTGGAGAGAGAAAGGACTCTCCCCACTTTCAGCCATACCAGGATATTTGGGGCCTCATAGTTATAAAAAGTAAACATATCAATACTAAAACAGATTTTACACAAGTTTTATCGGTATATTCTCTCAATTAAAAAAGTATAAAAAATATCTAACAATAGACTATGAATCAATAATATCGTGTCATTTTTAAATACCAGAGATTAAAGAAAAAATCAGACATTTCAACTATAACATACAAAAACATTCCCAATCATTTAAGGTCATAATAACCGATAAAATTATTTTTTGGGGGGGGGAATTAAATAGAAAAAAACATCGATTTTTTTATGTACCTCCAATCCCTATTTTATAAAAAACGTAAATACAGAAGAAAAATTTCAAGTATTCCATGTAAACATGTTTTTTTCTATAAAAAAAACTGTCAATGTTGCGAAATCATCAAATGAATAATAAGAATAATAATAAACCTTAGTGTAGAGTAATAGATACAAAAAGCAGTATGATCAATGATATTAGAAACGGTTGAAAGCGTGAGTCAATTGAAGCTAGATCACCAGGGAAAACCTGGAAGCACTGGATGGCCATTTTGTCGTATTGTGGGACTCTTCAACAGTGCGCATCCACGACCTCGTCTCACGAAATTCGAACCCAGGGCTTACCAGTCTCTTGCCAGAGCACTTAACCGATAGACTACTGAGCCGGCACCCGATGGTGTTTATGTTTAACTTCTACCAATCGGTTAAGTGCTCTGGCAAGAGACTGGTAGACTTTGGATTTGAATCTCGCGAGTGCGGGATCGTGGATGCGCACTGCTGAGGAGTCCCATAATAGGACGAAACGGCCGTCCAGTGTTTCCAGGTTTTCGATGGTGGTCTAGCTTCAATTGACTCACGCTTTCAACCATGAAAATACTAAATCTCCACAAAAACCCCTTCTGATAATGATGTTGGAAACCTTCATTAAATAAAAGTCAGTATATGTGTTACATCTTAATCGCAGCTACTTCATACGAACAATTCTGGTTGATTTAATATATTTAAAAGATTGAGTGGCAGGTAGACTAAGATATTACCATTGACCCACAAAGTCATGAGATTCTATTCTGAGTCTTGTTAACAGATGCAGACTTTCTGATCGGCACTAGTGTAATAGTAGTAGGAATTAGTGGTTGTAAATTTTGGACGACATGTTTAGATTTTGATTGCAACTAGTATCATTTTACAGCCCCCGAATGCCCTGGTACAGTCGAGAGTGAGGAGAGTCCGCTCTCCTCGAAATGCTCTCACACGACCACGCGTACATAGCCTCTGACAGGGAAGTCCTACCCACTGCCTTCTCGTGGTATCACTGTTGTTTACGAAATTGAGAGGACGAAAAGCGAATGTCCGGTGCTTTAACTGGGTTAATGGATATGGAAAGTCCACCTAAGGGAGTTGGAAAACCCTCATTCCAAACCAATGGTGCACATGGGCTCCAGTATGCTGAGAGAACAAATGGCGTTTTGAATCAATCGTTGGTGACCGGCTACCATGTGAGTGCATCTTCTCACGATACTCCACTGCTTTGTGTATGAGACCTTTAGGTCAAAGGCTCTGGGACATTGAACTCTAACGTTATCAAAACTTCAAGTTAAATTATATTGCATTTATGAAAATTGGAGATTTTCCACATTTTATTTGCCAGCTTTGTAACGTTAGCTTTTTACATGGGTTTGTTTTTCGAGTTTACACTTTACCTGTTCGAATTGCATTAAAGATGATAAAAAGTGCAGTGTTCGTCTCTTTTAATAAGTTTAGCATGCTAAATCTTTTTTTCACAGTAAATAGTTAGTTAGATACTGATATGTCTTGTGGGTTGAACGCTTATTCAGATCCTAAGCTATTCTGATAACCCCAGGCTAGCACTACTCAGCGACTTGAAGACCAGAGAGAAGACACGAGTAACGAGAAGATGCTTTATTGCAAGGTTCATCTTTGTACAGAAAATCGTAGGTATTTATAGATGTTTGCTTAAGTTAAATCAACATCCTAATTCAGCCAATCCACTTAACGACATAAATTGCTACTGACCAATGGTAGCATGCCACGTTGGAACTCCAGAATGTTCTGTCGTGCTCTGATTGGTTGGAGCTCTTTTTGAGCCTCTGGAGGCTCTGTTGGAGTTCTCTGGAAACCGACTTAACAGATACGTACACCATTGGATGTTGACTCAATGGTCTAGAGGCTAAGGGATCGCAAGTAGTAGCCATATTGTGTGGTTTTAAACATTCAACCCGACGGCTAATTAACTTACAGCTTTGTTTGCTTGTATATTAGATTAATCATTAATGGATTCCTGGCTGTTCTGAGTTGTATGATGTTGTGTTAGTTTTTTGGCCACCTCAGACCCTACTAATTATAAAAAAACATCACATAAATCTCCGTATTCGACTCTTCATTTCACGTTGTTTTACAAAACAGTTTTTAGGTCGTTAAGCATTGCTACACACTCTCAAAAAGTAGTTTTTTCTAATCAGATCAACGACTGTATAGAAGTAACCTCGAAACCTCTCGTCTACCTCAGTACTTTCAGCCAAATATCATCATTAAACTTCAAGCCTAAACGATTGTTTTGAAACTGAGTACACAGACTTGTAGTTGGTAAATGAGGGCCACAATAATAAAGACCAATCTTAAAAAGATGTTGTACGAATCTGCAATTTAAGTTTATCGTTCTAATTCCATATTACTAGCTAAAAGGATATGTTAAACACCTCACTGTGTAACTATATGAATACATTTTTTACTGAACCTTATTTAAGCACTTAGTCAGTGAAATACCATGCATGTCAGAGCGTCCTAGAAATATATATATTTACACCTGCAACTGATTGCGTGATTAATTCAAAACAAAGTGGAATCTATTTGCCCGGTACAGGCCTATATTCTCGTCTGTAATCCATACTGTCTGCATGGAATTTAGTGATATTACCGACTTATTTAAACTAAAGCACGAATCGCGAGGTTTGAACATGTGGCCTATCGATTAGAAGCTAGGTGTTTCACTGATCAAGGCATTAGTTTTTGACATTTGTTTCTTGTGCACAGTTTCTTGTCTGAGCGATTCACTAGGTAGCTACAAATGAGTTTATTAGAAGTGGAAAACTTTATGGAGATGGATTTTGGTTACTGATAAAGTGCAAGTCACAAACTTTTCAGGGTCGATTAAGAAGATAGGATAAATGACACACAAAAATGGATAGTTGAGCGCAAATCAGTCTTCAGTAATAAAAATAGGTGATCTATCGGTCTATACTAATCCTTGCAGTTTGTAACACTGTGGAGGTCCAATTTATATTGGAATATATCAAAAAAAAGGTCTGATATCACGTGTTCTGGTAGCGAATTCCAGTAATTCACTACTCGGTGCGAGAAACAAAACTCCAGAAGTAGATGACTTGATCTAGGTTTTTGAACTTTTTTCTAATGTTCTCTGAAATGATCACTCCTTTAAATATAGACCATGCTTCTTCAACTGATGAGCTAGTATCTACTGACTAATGTCCAAGCAGTGCACTCCTGAATGGCTGGTATGTTAGCTCATTATACATTTGGGCGAGGCTTAACCTGATCGTATATCATGTCGTATATCTTGTCATAAATGACAAGACAGCGTGGTTGCTTTTCACTAACGGTGGAAGAATATTTAGGTTATCAATGTCCTCAGTCGCATGAGTGATTACCAAGTCTAACAGAGAAAACCCTTGGTTGCACCAAAACGTGTTGGTTTGGATACATGTTGTACTAATACGTGATCCATTACTGTTATCAGTGAAGATACAACCAGTATTCTAGTTTGACAACTATTAACCAGTAACATCTTCTATATTCGAATCGTTCCCCACTGGGTTAAAATCAGAAGTCAGATGCGAAGATGTAGGAAAGATATATTTGATGCGTTATTAATATATCGAGAAGCGGTTACTCTAATCTGGCTAGTAAACGTAGGAGCTGTTTCCCACGCTGAGTCTTAACGTGATCTGGTGCGGATGCATGACCGAACGCCTTCAGTTAAACAAGTCCACTTAAAACAATGTGGTCAGCATCCAATGTCGAACACTTAAAGAGCTATTGATTTTGGGGAATTATTTATAGCTACACCAGGTACCTACTATCAAAGGAGTATATAGATCCTACCGTGGCTACCCCAGTTCAACTAATATCAGGTGCATTGAAGTCTCCTAATATCAAGCATCTGTTATTTGCGCTCCATAGCTGGATGTGCTCTAAAATAAAATCATAACGGGAGATCTTGTATAAATGCATATCAATCGAAGCTCCAACAGCACCGTGTGGGAAAATCAGGTAGATCAAATTTATAAAGATAATATATAGAATGTAGTTTCCAAACAAACATGTAAGCCCAATTAGTAAGGGCTATAAAGTACAATACAATTTTATGGATAAAAAGCGATGTATTTTGACTACAGAATTTGATTTTTATCTTGGGTTACTTGATAACTCGATTCATAAATAATGATTGCTAAGACGATAGCCGGGTTCAGCATCTCAAAATAAACCAGCTCTACAATCTAGAACTCATTCTAATTAATAAATGTTAAAACAATAATTTCACTTGGGTAGGATTCTAAAACAGGCTGAATTTCAATTACTATTATATACGAGTAATGACATCCACTCAGTCGTAAAAAATACAGACATAAAAGCACTTTGATTGATAAACTACAGGCTAATAAAAAAAATTGATCAGTATGTGTAATGCAAAAAGAAATTATTTAAAGAATATAATGTTCATAAATTGAAAGTTTTTCATATATGGATTTCAGGAGCACACGTGATAAAAATCTAAAAACGTACAGAAACTTACTCTTAAGTCACACGCTGCATTCAACAAGATGTTGCACGGCTTAAGATCCCTATGAAGAACATTTGCAGAATGTATGTACTTGAGGCCTAAAAACGAATCATGAATGAATAATATAAGGTCACCTCTAAGCATTTGATATAAAAAGTAGCAAATATGGTCATTGCTTAGTTTCTGTGTCTTCAGTAAGCGACACAGGTCAGTTTCCATAAAACACTCAACAATATAGCTTAACAGTAAACATATAATTGAACAATATTATGGACTTACATATCCTTCATCTCTTCAAATGTGCTCGACGTTATAATATCATGAATTTTCACAATCTGTAAATTTATTTGTAAACGAATGTAAACTTTCTAATAACAAACATTCTCGTGGTCCATTCTACTAAGTATCCAAATTTCCCTGTACGTTCTCTGACTATATGTCTGATGTTCAAATGGGGAAACTTTCTTGAGAGCTACTTTTTCATTACGCTGACAATCGAACGCCGATCTTAATCATAGTTTATGAAACGACTCAACATACACAACGATCCCATACGCACCTTCCCCAACATACTGAACGTTGTCAAACCTTGGCCCTAACTCAAATATTTGTCCTTTCACTGTTGGTATTGTTGGTTTAGACATTTCAAAGCACCAACTTAGAAAAAGCTGTTAGTTTAATCCTCTTATAGTAGGTAACAACGAAAAAAGATAAAAGCTTTAGAAAGGCCTTGTGCATATCATTACAATCAGTCAGAAACGCATAACGTGCGACAGACTCTTTTGCGAAAACAATGTGCATATTTGAAAAAACACGAGAAAACCAAGGATAAAAAGTACAATATCCAACATCATCATGGCGAGCTATGGTAAACTAATTAGACTCTTAGCTATCCTTTCTTGGTTTTTTATTTGGCAAAAACTCTTAAGTAGTACCCGATGAGTTTAGTGTTCAACGCTTCCGTAAAGTTAAGAAATGCTACATGCATTGACAATTTTCTGTCCCAATACATTGTTCAACCATCTCGTGTTAGAAGAAGATTAAACACATGTGACCCGATTTTACTAAATCCGGTTCGACTTTCATAAAAGGTGTTTGCGGTACATGAACCTTATCATCTATCCAGTGATCAGACATTTTTAAAACTTCAATGCTATCGGAAATAGCGTTACTGATATATAACAGATATATAACAAGGTTTCCTGCCTCCTCCTCTAAATATAAGGGATATAATTACCTGTTTCCATTTCCTAGGGGCTTTCAGAATCTTAATAAGTTTTAATGGTAAATTGTAACGATTCTCTACTGTCGTTACTTCCTTTAATCTTTTTATTCGCGTGCATTAAGTTTATTTTCAATTTAGATGACATAATTATCGTTTAATTTGTACACAATTTTGGTTGCATTTACTGATTTGGAACTGTTAAGCACTCATCTGACTTTTATAGTTTTTATTTTACACAACCGCTACAGCAACGATCATGTGGATTCTTTTAGCTTCATTTATACTTCTGAAGTTGGTTGGTTTGATTGTTCATTTGGCAATAACAACATGTTCCCACTTCATCACCAGTTTATTCTCCCTCTGACAAGTAACCAGTTTTGAGTTGCTTAACATCTATTCTCCTTAAAATCCAGTACATTGATTTCATCGTTTTGGAAAGAAAAAAGTTCTCTGGTTTGGCTGGTTCAGTTTTACTTTTAAATAACTCGATTACACAAGTCTCTTTAAAAGGGAAACCGTTCAGGTGAATTGTGTATTTTCGATATTCTTTACTTATTCTTATGTTTTAATGGCATCACCCTTGTAATGGGATTACCTGGTTTCAACTTGGTCGCCGATATTCATTTGTCCAGTGGGCTAGTTATTTTAAGAGTTTTTTAAAGTGTTCTGCCAACCCACTTCGCTATTCGTGAATCGACCTCCTGACTTCAAAAGAATCCCGGCGTTCACTATGAGTCGTTATCGTTCTTCCATATGAGGATTCTCTAGCTCACAGGTCAGAGTTTACGTGTTTTAATTTGTTCATTCTGGCTGGTTTGTTTTAGCAAATTTGCTTTCTACAAAATAGTATTGCTGATCCAATGAACTACCATCCTCTTTGGCCTGTCCTTGGGACTGGTAGTAACCCTAAAAGGGCTACAGACTGAGGTAATCTGCTTGACATTGTAGACTCGTTCAAAAGCACGGCGAAGAATAAAGATACTTGAGGTCTACCGACAAGTTAAACTTTGTCGCCAGATATTCTCATATTCATTAAAACGTACATATTTCGGATCACAATTAAGACATTTGTGCTTTATGACCGAATATCGTGAAGAGTCTAGAATACCCATATGCACCTAAAAATCATGTTTTTCCGACAGTGTCCGGTCTTCATGCATTTAGTTTGTTCATAGCGAGAAATCTACCTATGAGAGAAGAATGCTAACATTCAATCATAACGTAATCGAAGATATGTCTTGGATTTTAAGTCAGGTAAATGCTATGATCTTCTGGTTACATTTTTTATCACAGGGTTGGGAGCAAGTGAAGATCGAGTAAACGTTAGTGAGATATATAATAACAATATAAAATTATCAGCGCAAAGTATTTCAGCGAGTCTCTGTTTCTTATTGACTGATCGATATTGACCATAAATGTTTGGTGCCCTCAAGTTATATATCAGCGTCTCAAAATTCAACATCTGAATAGTATTCATTCTTTTCAATTCATATTGCCGGCAATCATGGTGTCTCCGATCGCACATTATTGTAACTGAATACGTTATGCAATTAATTAACATAAAGATTTGTTAAAACAAACAAGGGAACAGATAACTTGTTGAAATATCCAGATTGTAGAAACAGGTAACCGTATTTTAAGCCCTCTTGAAATACGCCACCGAAAACAGATATGAAACAGGTGACTTCTTCCTTCAGCATTATTAAAGCCTCAGATATTCCAGAGGAATATAAGGTTGAAGCTTCTAAAAGCCCCCAACTTCTCATAAATCTATTCTGGACCATCAGTTGCTTGTCGCAACGCAACCTTCATAAAGCGCACCAATTGTGATACTGACAATACGTTTCTTACCAAAACTATATACATTAATGTCTTATAAAATATCAACCCAAATGAGTAATTCACTACAGTGAAAATAGTAACTTCCATAAAAATTTGATCTTAGCGGTAAACTGGTATGCCTCACGTAAAAAACTGTTATTTGAGAATAAACTATTATTATTTTATTCAAGCAGGCCTTCTTAACAATTATGTGGGGTTAGAATTTATATACCCACACAAAATGGGAGAGTACACCACTCTGAATTATAACGGCAGTGGTTTAATCCTAAAGCAGGCTAACATTCGAATCTTAGTCATCTACATTTGGATGGCACATTAATGACTTACGGAATGACTATACAATGGTCACTCAGTAAGGTCACAGTCAACTGAAAGTCTTTGGGCACGAAATTGTCCCTTGCTTCTAACACATTTTTGTTGAACTCCCGTGCATATTCTCGACACGTTTCACACTATCAGGAAGGAATTAAGTGCGTCATCAGGATTTAGTGCTGTGGTATTGGTCCTAACCACAATCCTCATAGCTGAAAATGAGATAACTGAGAAAATGAACTTTCACCGTTTGACACTAAGAAAAGGTCAATAATGGTTAACGCGGGGATATGCATTTGAAATTGAATTCATTGAATGGCATGTATCGGTCTTGCAAGCGTGGTCATCCTTGTCCTAAACGAGTCCTCCATTGTATATTGGTGATTGTAACGATACAATGAGTCACTGTAGTCAGATATTTGACTTCCACGTGGGATCTTATAAATTAAGCAGTTACACCATGACAAGTCTACAATTTTAGGATTAGATCTATTTATTATAACAAGAAACCCTAGAGTTATAATAATAATAATATATTCTGAAAATAATATTTACAGAATTCACACCAGTTTACAGGCATGATCAGATTGTTATAAAAATCAACATTTAATGTAGAGAACAAACATGAAATATAAGAAAGTTTTATGCTTGCTGGTATACTAATTGATAAATAGTTTGAATATGGCATATGTCACGGCAAGCCAATGCAACACCGGGGAACTTGTCATTTTTTATTAAGTGGATAGCCTGATGATTGATCAACATTGTTCTGTAAGGTTATTTCCAGTGCCAGAGAGAGTTATTATTAATTATCTACAACTAGAGAAAGTAAGATTAAAGCAAAGAGCACGGAACAACAAAACAATGATAACAAGTAAGTGGTTAAACATTTAAGGTTCCTATAATCTCACTTGTGGAGTAAGATACACTTGCAAGCGCTGGAGCATTTAATGCATTTTCAGAGGAGCAAAAAGCATTAATTGAGCGAACAAACAATGGGAGAGAGTTTAACATACGGATAGTTTGGGGTAAATTATTCCAGAGCCTAGAAAACTTACAGGTAAAGTTATTCATATAGAGAGAAGATCTAGAATATGTTTGTCTCGTTAAAGACAAGGAGTTACGAATGTCATAATGTGGGGCTTTAGCATATTGAATCGCCTGACTGGATGTGGAGGAGAGTTTGTTAAGTATTTTGAAAAAGAAGATAAGGTTAAGTTTGAGGCTCCTCTTCCGTAAAGGGTCAAGCCCTAGTTTACTACACCTCGAATTATATGTCAACACACTATCAGTTCCAAGAGTACGAAGTGTAAATCGTCTCTCTACTGATTCCAGTCTTAATTTATCCTTTATGCGCGTGCTAATAAGGAGAAACGCGCAGTATTCGAGGAGTGATCGAACACAGACTTTGTACATTAGAACACGAGATTCGCTGATATGAAGGTTTCGAGTTATGAAACCTATAAGGCGTTGAGACTTGGACGTTTGTTTCATTATCTGTTCAGTAAACGACAAGTCGTCGGAGTACCTAAGTCCTAGATCTACTACTGTGTGTAACCTAGATAACATTTCCCCATTTATGGTAAGATTGAGGTTGAGTGATGTATCACCGAAGCATAACCAACCACATTTAGCTGTATTGAGCTCCAGTTGCCATTTCGAGCACCACTGTGCTACCTTGTTAAGCTCCGTGCTGATACAATTTTGAATATTGCTCAGCTCAAGTGGAGAAAATGAGTACACCACCTTAAGATCGTCTGCAAACAAAAGGGATTTACCCACACTAAAACACTCACAAATATCATTAATGAAAACTAAAAAGAGCAAAGGACCTAAGACACTACCCTGAATTACCCCACTTCTAACAAGGACTGAGTTCGACAATGAAGAGTTGATTTTAACTATTTGATGTCGATTGCTGAGGAAGGAATCAAACCAGGCTAGTAACGGGTTTTGGACCCCGTAAGATGCGAGTTTACCTATGAGAAGTTGGTGGTTGACCAGTTCGAAGGCCTTAGAAATGTCCAGGTATAGCACTAATACTTGATATCCTTGGCTACGAAGCGAATAGACTAAATTAAAGAAGTCAAAATGACATGTCATACAGGATCGATTTTTAAGAAATCCATGTTGCGAATCATCAATACGCGGTTTTCCAACGGTCAGGATAAGAGCCTGATTCCATAGAGAGAGTAAACAGCTTAAGCAGAAGAAGTGGGGCATCTGGACCACCATATTTGTAGATAAATGATGAAATCCCGTCTGCACCGTGACCTTTCGAAAACTTGAGGTTATTTATAACCTTACTAATTTTCAGACATGTGAAGGAGATAGATTTAATTGAGTTACCAGTCAAGCATATAACTCTAGAAACAGAGCCATTTAAAGATTCTTTGCCATTTGCAAAATTACCACTGAAAACGTCTGCTATAGTTTTTGGGTCATATATAAAACTATTATTATGCAGGATGCATGGTATATCAACATTTTGAGTTGATTTAGCACGTATATTGTAAAGGTGGATTAGGTTTTGCACTTTTGAGTTAGTACGTAGTGCTAATAGCTCTTCATTGACGGCTTTTAACCTATGTTTCTCTTTAATTTGGTTAAAAATTATTGTTATTTGTGTGACTGCCGTGAAGTCGTTAGATTTAAAATAACGTTTCTTTAGGCGTCTTAGTTTATTACGATATTTAGCTGGTATATATAATTCGTGATGTTTACTAATCCTGTAAGTCTTAATTGGTGCACAGGAGTCTAGACAAGAATTAACAATCAAATAGAATATGTTGATGGCATCTGTCAGACTATTACATGAGAAGAATTCATCCCAGTCTGAGAGTTTGATCAGTGAGCGCAAGAGGTCCCAGTCTGCATGCTTATAGTCTCTATAATTGCAGGTTCTTTGAATTGGTCGGTTGTAGAAGGGATAGATGGGGAGAGCACAAGCTACTATCCTATGATCACTGCTTTCAAACTCGTTGTATACTTGTACAGATAGGGGAATGATATCTCTACTAAATATTAGATCAAGTGTATTCTACAGTATTCTACAGTTTATAACAATTGGCGATGGTGATTAAAACGGATTTACGCTTACATATTCAGTTAAAGTGAATTTTATAACAAAATGGATGATCTGAAAGCCTTATTGCAACATCAAAGTTCTCTTATCGAATTTATAATCAAAAATTTGTCAATATATTCAAAAACAAATGTGCCTAATTCGACTATGACCTCGGATTCTATTGCAAATTCAATAACTGAATTTAGATTTGATCTAGAAAGTGGAGTTACTTTTGAGGCGTGGTTTAGACTCCATGAGGATCCATTTATTAATGAATGTAAAGATTGGGACGAAAGTTCAAAATTGAGATTATTATTACGAAAGCTCGGAGTGTCTGAACATGAAAAATTCTGTAATTTTATCCTCCCAAAGAAGCCAACCGACATGACCTTCAAAGAAACAGTTGAATGCTTGACTCGTATATTTGGAGAACGGTCATCAATTTTTCACACTAGATACCAGTGCCTTCAACTTATAAAAAAAGCACAGGACTACTAAGTGACGTATGCAAGCATCGTGAACCGGGAATGTGAGCTTTTCCGTTTACAAGAAATGTCCTCAGATCAGTTCAAATGCCTTATTTTGTCTGTGGATTACAATCTTCAGCAGATGCAGATATTAGTACACGGATTCTAGCTAGAATAGAACAAGAGCCTAATATCAGTCTACAATCAGTATCTGAAGAGTGTAAAAGAATGGTTAATTTGAAGCATGACACGAATCTCGTAGAAAGGAACAGTGAACACGTGAAAGTTAATGCTTTACGTAAATCTTTCAATAGAAATAAAGATTTGAAATCCCAGAAAATCCCAAATCAAGTGGAACACAAAACGTCATGTTGGCGATGTGATGTCTCATTCTGCCAATGTTTGCTACTATAAAAAACGAGTATGCTTTTAATGTGGTAAATTTGGTAGTGCTCAAGTATGTTGTAAAAGTAAACCAAAGGTTTCTGACCGTAAGCATAAGTTTTGTAAAGCAAATAAGATGAAGACTTCAAAAGTATTAAACGTGCTCCCTTAAAGATGGGAGGAGAAGATAATGTAGAAGTGGCTTTGCCGCTCAAACGGAATCTTACTTGATCTATCCAGAAACGATAGAATAACACTTTTTGATGCGTTCGGTAAATTTCTTATATTTCTTATCAACTTCCTATTTATTGTAATTTAGATTGATTATTTTGGGATCAGTTGTTGGTTGAATAACTGGGTGGTAATATCTGTTTAGGTAAATTTGTACATTTGTATATATGATGAATTTTAGAACCGTTATAACCCCAATCGCTTTGTTCGGATTTCGATTGTGGTGCGCATCTCTTATTTTACTCGTCAGTTATTCAACAGCCCAAACCTAGTTGGAAACCAGGTTTAGATCATACAATACGTGTAAAAAGTGAAAGGACAGTTATAACAAGAAATTTTAGCCTTATAACAAGCATCCTACCGTTTATATTACTATTATTAGAGCAGTACTAGTAATGGAGTATACTATAATACTTCAGTAGTTTGGTGTGCCACATACAGGTTCTATGACCGCCGACCGAATATACGTGTCGAACCACCGACCAAAATCCTGACTGTGATTTCGTCTATCTCACATTAACTATTTTCGTCATAGCTTAATGCAAATTACATAGAGAACCGGAAGTTTTATACTAATATATACAAGGTTCATGGAAGCTGGAGCACCAGCACCCGAACTTACACGGAAAAATATCTCTTAAGTACGGAGCCGGCTATTAAGTGGGTGATAGGTTGGAGTAACAAATCTCGCAAACATAAACCTCGACACATAGGATCATTCTTGGTGTGATCCAGGGGAGTGAGAAGTGGTTAAGTGTTGAATCACCATCACTCTAACACAAAAGTCTCACAAGAATGCCAGCACCGTGCTCCTCTAGGCAACCTACGCACATCACAGATCGGAAATCCCTGAATTCGTTAAAGTCACTGGTTCTAGAAAACATACTGGGAGCGCAGGGAAATATATAGATTTGTAGATCACCAACGTTGGTGATCCGTGTCAAATGATTGGTGGCTTACTCGAGGTAGCTTACTTCGAAGTCACACTTTGTGGTCGGAACTTAAAGTTGATTTCACTTTTGTTGTTTCCATGGGAGGTAAAATGAAGAGAGTGCGACCACCACCGCATAAACCAGTGCATGGCGTGCAATTACCTGATGCATGTCGGTTGTCCTTGAATTTCATAAGAACCGGTGAACTGTTTGAGATTCAGTGAGCTGACTTCCGAATGATTTATCTACGATACAGTGCCATTTCACTGGTCCTACAGATTTATACCAGCTCTTCATATAGATAGTTTATATCATATATTGAAAGACCGTCTAAAAATATAGGGTATATTAAATACTTTTGGGTGAAACTTTTGTCTTAATTCAGGAGTCATGTAAAAAATGTAATGTGAGAATCGATGTTTGTTTGTTTGTATCAATATTTTCACTACTTCCAATAAGAAGTGTAAAGTGGGGGTAAAACAAAGAGGTTATCGTAATGACATACCATTTATGCGATGTTGATTTAAATAGGTATTTTGGCTTCTATTTTAGTACTGAATAGTTTTTTTAAAATCATTTACTATATACGGATACGTTTTGTTCTTAAGCGGGGAGCTAAGACTTAGTAACTGTCGTCCCGTTAGCCAAACTAGTGAAGTCAAACTAACAGGAAAGATTATTCGGATAAATGTTATGAACAATGTTGAAGGGCATAATTTTTTACCCACGGAACAACACGGTCTTCGGAAAGGCCTCCCATGCCTGACAAATCTGCTTGTGCAAGAGGAGATTGGGACGTAGACAAACGTCGAAGTATTCATGTAGATGTGATTTTCATAGGTCTAGATAAAACCCTTGACAAGATCTATTCAGATCCTTAATTAAAAGTGGAAGGTTTTGGAATCCATTATAAAATCATAGACTGTGTAAGTGACGTTGTTGATGACAGGAAACAGCGGATGAGGGTAAATGGAGCTCTCTCTGCGTGGAAACCTTAAACATAGGAGTTCTTCAAGGTATAATTCTTGGTCTTCCCTTTTTACCTTGTTTAAGTGAGTTCTCAACTGTAGCGAATTCATCCATTCTACTCTTTGTTGATGACATAAAGATCCGGAGACATGCATAGTATTTCAGATAGAATAACTACAGTATAATCTTTGGTGGCATGAGTCGGTGGGTGGTTATTAGAAGTAAATCCTAACAATAGTGTGTTGATGCAATTAAATAACCTTGTTATTTCTTATCACTACACAATACGTGAGGTTGTGTTACCAAAGTAATGAGCTATAAAGATTTAGGAATCATAATAAGCAACGACCTCAAAACTATGAGCAACTGGAAGGCTGCTGCTGCCAAAGGCTTTTAAGCACTGTGATATTACTTAAAAGTTTAGGATTCTTTTCTCTTCACAGTTTAAAAATGTTATTTCAATACTGGTCGGTCCAAGTGCTTAGTTTAGTCATAACTTGTAAATTAATCTGGTGTGTTAACAAAGTCAACTTAGATTTATAATAAGACGATCGTTATTGGGCTGGTGGACGACAAAAGCTCAGTATATGTTCGAGAACTCTAGCTTTTACTAAACATCTGTGCCACGGGTGGAATATCTGCTTTTCATAAGGGTTGGTATATTGTATAGTAGTTCGCGTTATAACACTTCCCGCGGATAAAAATAGACTTTTAGAAACATCTGATATGAACAGGTTGCATGTATTCTATAAGTCGCTTCAAAGCATAGCTCAAAGATAATTGAATAGTTAACGCAGAAGTGATAAGTAGTGAATGGAAGTGACCAACTGGGTAATAGAGTAAATTCCTCAACTCGCTAAATCTATCAGCAGCCATTTATTATGGTGCTGCTCTAAGCTAGCCATTGGAAAATTAAGAGATGACCAGCTTAAAACAGTATTAGTTCACAAAGTCATTCATTGTTAGTATGAACTAAACCGGGAGTTACAGACTCTTTGGTTAGAGTTCGCGAAATAGTTATGACCTGCTATCAAAGATTTTTGATTACGACCCAGATCAGGCGTTGCTGACGTAGACGCATCAATTATTTATATCCCTTTGGTTTACCAGTTTTGCCCCCTTTTAAAGTGTTTTATATCTAGTTTTCGACCATTAGTGCTGTTATTTGATGGAATAAAGTGACCTGCATACTTTTGGCAGGTTCTATGTAATTATCATCGATCTGAATATGACTCATTAGTTTGCATTTGGATGTCTAATCAACAAAACCTTAGCTTAACAGGTAAATAAATCCTACTCAAAATTATCTGTTATGGCTTAGGCTAGCTAGCTCAATACAGATGTAACAAATTTTAATTTTTTGGAAAGTTACCTCAAAAGCTCGACCCTTAAAATATACAGTGGAACAGCAGAAAGGTTAAATCAGTTGATTCTATACACTTACAGCTAGTTAATACAGGTCCTATTGTCGATATCGGTAAATCACATACTACAAATTTATGAAGTTGCTTCGAGCTACACCATGTGATACCTAATTATACTAATCGGTCAGCAAAAACCCAAGTAGACAAAGTGAAGTTTGAACTATTTGGAAGCAAAATGTTTTCATCGCTAAACTACAGACTCACATCAACACAAAAGATTGTATCCACTGTTAGTCGACAGTATCTGTAACCTAAATCAAGTTTACTCGTACCCACTCTTATTTATTTAATAATTGTGTTTCGTCTATTCAACCGCAATACTTTCCTCATGAATATAAGTGCTAAATGTGTGCTAGTTTACTTGTCTTTTGTTTGCCTAATATTTGTTTGTTCGATTACACTTGTCCCAACCTGTTTATTGTTTAGTTCCCCATCTGTGGTCAGTGACCTACTAATTTATTACCAGGTTCTTTTTGTTAGTCCATTACTGTTATCATATTGCTTCACAGTTGGTTAGTCATATATATATATATATATATATATATATATATATATATATATATATATATATATATATATATATATACCCTTTTTATCTTCGATAATATAAAGTCTTTTAGTAGAATTTAAAAGATCATCAGTTGTCTTATTTTATTCCTCTTTATGTTCAGTAAAAAGTTAGTGTTTCATTTCATATTCTTATGATGGGTTTTCGTAGTTAGTAGTATTTTTAATTAGTTTTGTTTAGCATGAAATCATCCAAGTTATGTTCCGTCATTTTAGTTATGTTAGATGAACTACCGCATCGAGTTAATTGGAAAGACAGTAATATCACTATTGGGAGTGGTTTAACGAGTCTTACGACTGGTTTTCATGAGACGCACAAGGAAAGGTTTGAAGATTATGTCGGAAGTTGGACGAACCTAGAAGATTGCAGATTGCTCGATCATGTCTCTCGACTGGGTGAAAATCGTTGGAATCTTATTGGAAAAAGACTTGGCAAGTCAGCTTTTCAATGTTCAGAAAGGTAAATAATGGTAAATCATCGTCTTCCTGTTTCGTCTAAATAAAAGTTTTCTGGAAATTAAATTTTCATTACGGTGTGTTTACATTCCTGGATATACTAAATTTCACAATTTTACTTCCCATTTTATGGTCACTTTTTCAAATTTCACCTATATATCATGAACAACTAGGATTACTTCTTAACACTACTTTGTGTTTATGAATCTTGTGCAAGCCTATGGGCGATTCCAGTTACAGAATAACCTGTTAATTCTACTAATTGCCTTGTCTTTCATAACGAATATAAGCTACTTGTGCCTGGTCCTACGTTGTAGTTGACTGACTGACCTACTTGTTCAGTGATTAGTATCCACCAAAATACGGAGGGTGATGAAATTGTCTGTGAGCAAGCATGTTTTGGCATCAGTACAAATGCAAACTGAATGGTAAATTTCGAACAACCACCATCCAGATTACTGACTTCGTATTCTACAGTGTGATTTTAAAAAATTCAGTTTCCAAAACAATTCTGATTTTGTATCTGACTATCTGATTTTAAACAGTGTTCACCATGTGATGTTAAAAAGCTTTATTCCCCGGATAAGAATACAGTATTGCATGATATGCTAACAAAATACTTTGACCTCTTGTGTATTGACTCGGAGCTATGTAAGTTAAATAAATAAAATTGTAGCAAAAGGTTTCCTCTGTGGTTCACATCGTAATACATGGATTCACCTGTACTTGGAATTTCTCCGTTTGTTGTTTTATGCGTCTCCCTAGCTCCTTAAAATCGATTATTAGAGTATGGTAATGTAAGTAAGATAGTAAGGCTGCCTTAGTTTCATGCATGAACTATATTGGTAATGAAACTATTCTGTGTAATCTACATTTAATATGTACTTCAGTCGGTCAGCCTGAGAAAGTTCTTTTAAGTTAACCAATTGAGATACAACATAGCTATCCTCATTCAATCCGCTTATATTTTTTTCACAAACCTTGACATATGAGTTTTACATTTAAAACTGACGTCCATTTGAAATCTTTGTAAAACCAATTCACTCAGCCGAAACAACCACTTTTGTTTTTAGATATTTGAAGCATTTACGTCCTCAAATGTTGGGATCCAGTAAAACATATACAACTTTAATACAACATAGTACTGTACCACAAGCTATTCTCAATTCAGATCAAAATTCAACATGGACAAGAGATGAAGACTCAACTCTCCTCCAGTTGTATTTAACATATGGATCCAATTGGGAGTTAATAGCTAATCGCCTAACCACTAGTGGTAGTTTGCATAAAAAACGAACTGCTTTAGATGTGAGACAGCGATATGAAAAAGTTGTTCTTCAATATTGGCCCACTAACAATCAAGAAAATCGTCCACTCTCTAGTTTACTGTTTCGTAATTCGTTGTAAGTTTGTCTTGTCGAAAGAAGTTCTTTTTTTGCATTTTACTCATCATAAAAGTAACTCAGGAAATTCACACAAATCCCCGCAGCTAATTAAGTCATGGTTTGAACTTACAGTCTAATACTACAAAACTAAGTGGTGACTTGCCTATTAAAGTACTCAACTTTCAACTTTTTAGCTGTGGGTTTAGACCATGCTTCAATTATCTAACCGATAATAATCATGTTGCATCAAAAGTATGGTTCACTGATGAAAAAACGTATATTTCTGTCTAATTACTACTTATATATAAGTTAATTTTATAGTGTTTGCTAGGATATTTTTCTTGTTTTGGTGATCACAACAAAATTAATGGGTTTCTTAATATGGCATTTTTAATCGATTCACTAACCTATCATGCTTTATAGTTTAATAGTGTCATTAGCATACCATACAATGATATCGATCAGTGTTTGAGGACGTTGGGTGACATGACCTAGGGTCGATCACAATGAAGGATGTTCATTCACCTTTTTTTCTTTCTCTCTGTATTCTCTCATAAATACTTTTTCTTTTCTAAACATCCTCTGTTGTATAGATGAATAGAGCAGTAATCCTAGTCCTATTTATAGTAATTATAAATCCCTACCTATAAATGTCCTTGTCTGAAAGTTGTTTACTTGTCGAAGCATTATTCTACAAGTATAACCATATGACGTCGTTCCATGAAGTTATTGACTTCTGGTCTGAACATTATTGGTAGATCCAGACTACGTGATAAGGATCCATGTGATAACCCCGATCAGTGGTTTGAAACAGTACAGATTCAATCACTCTTCATATTTTTCGACCTTCAATCTCAGAATCCATCCATACATATCTTTCTAACGTCCTTTCAAAACGTATTCCTAATGTTTGATCTTTCTTATAATAAATGCTACTACATTATTTCGGTCTCATTAGTTTCATCTCGTTGTGCTGACGTGATATAACTTGAGCTAACGAATATCTGTGCCAGTCTCTATGCTGATGATGTCTATCTGTCTTATGTCATAGATTCGGGTGGAATTGTCATCACTGTACATACTTGTTCAATTATTTGTAGCTTAATCTACATAACCCCTTAACATAGTCATAATTTCATCGAAATCACTTACCGATCTAAGTTAAACGACCATTGGAAATCCGGAAACACTGAACTGCCGTTCCTCCCTAATATTGGACTCCTCAGGAGTGTGTATTCACGACGACGCAACAGAGGATGAAATCCAGAACCCTCGTTCTCCATTTGATCGCGGCTCAGTGGTTTGGAAGTTGGGCGTTCACGCGCTGGACCGAAGGTCTTGGGTTTGACTACAGTTGTGAGGTCATTGATGCGCACTTCTGAGGAGTGCCTCTTAGTAAGAAGGAATGAACGTTCAGTGTTTCCAAGTTTTCAGTGGTTATCTAACCTCGACCGGTTCATGAAATCAATGAAGCTCAATAATCTCGACAACGCTGACAATATTAACAATTGTTGCTTTTCTTCATTTCCTTCCCAGATTAGCCTGGTCAAATAGTCCTAAAAATAATAGTACTCACAACAATACAAATTCAAATGATCAATCAATAGTTAGTAAGAACAACGCTCGACCTACCTATTTAATCCCATTATCTTCATTAAAGTCAAGTCACGATTCTACAACAAGTGGAAATTGGAAAATTCGTCTAACGCAACCTATTCATCATCATGATTCAGGGGTAAGTGATGGAGAAAATATTGATTTTAAATAAATTGGAAAATTAATTGCTCCAGATAAGGTAAATAGTTAGTAAGAGAAGTAAATGTCTATATAACTAATAGTTACAAAGTTCAACCTAGTTAAACTTATCAGCTTAGATTGTGTAATTATTAAGTGAAAGCAATGATATACAATGAATTCATCGTATTCAATTAACAAAATCAATCTTATTTTTATTTAAACTTGTAAAGGGAGCACCGATTTGATGAATTACGGGAGAGGGAAATGTGTAGGTCATTTCCTAGTAGTTACAACATAATTTGTAACTATTTTAAACTCTTCTGTCTGTCTAATTAGGTATCAATATTAAAGCTCACTAGTCACTAACCGAAGTGACTGATACTTGTTGTGTAAGGCTTATCTACTTGATAAACCGTAATCACAATAAAAGTATATCTTTTAGTTTTCAACGTTAAGGCACCGTTAAATATTTTCAAACACGTTGTTAGCTTCCTGTAAATTTTAATTATGAAGGAAATGCAAACAGATCATCACAGGATCAGCAATTTAATATAGAACAGCAGTGAGCAGTGTTACTTTCCATATTGGTCTTTTTCTTTTCGGCAAACTGTTCATTCGTAACTCGAACCAATTACTACTCCAATGTATTCAATATCATGTATATTCGGCATGTTTTTTTCCTCAAGAAAAATGTAACAAACTAATGACTACCACCCAACATAAATGATTCAAGCTGAATCACACTTTAAACGTTTAACATAGGGAATAAGACTTTTGTTATTGTGTTATTAAGCATGTTTTCTGAATCCGTGATTGCGTAATCATCAAATTACAATGTTTTTCTGACCTATTAAAAAAAACAGATTTTTCACTAACAAAGCTTTAGCTATAAAAACACTTTGACCTTAACAATTTCCCTCAACTTATAATATGTGTGTGATGTTGTTCCGTAGAGGGAAACATCTTAAAGTACAAAGAAATGTTGTAGATTCATCCAATAATTATTCAATAGCGTCAATTCACACTTTGTATGTAACATTGGGAATTTCTGTTGGTATAATATCAGTATTTTTATGCGAAGATTTCTGAATAGGTTGTTAAAATTTCGTAAGTAACACTGTTAGATGCCGACTCAGTGGTCTATCGGTTAAGGGCTCCGGCTCGAGACTGGTAGGTCCTGGGTTCGAATCTCGCGAGTGCGGTATCGTGGATGTGCACTGCTGAGGAGTCCCATAATAGAACGAAAAGGTCGTCCAGTACTTCCAGGTTTTCGTTGGTGGTCTACCTTCAATTGACCCATGATTTCAACTATGAAAATACTGAATTCTACATAAAACCCCCTTTGATTTAAATTTTTTAATTGTTTATGGTATGTATATACAATTTAGTTATTTTATATAGTTGAAATCATGAGTCAATTGAAGCTAGACCACCATGGAAAACCTGGAAACACTGGACGACCGTTTCGTCCTATTGTGGGACTCCTCAGCAGTCTCACGCCAAAGCACTTAACCAATAGACCACTGAGCTAACCGGCATCCAACGGTGTTAATGTCTAACTGGTAGGACCCGGGGTCGAATCTCGCGAGGCGGAATCGTGGTTGCGCACCGCTGAGGAGCCCCATAATAGGACGAAACGGTCGTCCAGTGCTTCCAGGTTTTCCATGGTGGTCTAGCTTCAATTGACTAATGATCTTAACTATATAAAATTACTAAAATTTCTACAAAACCCCCTTCTGACAATTCAGTTAGTTGATGATTGGTTAGTTAACGTACGGATACTCAAAAACTCGTAATCACAACAGAGTTTGAACTCGTGGTTACTCAATCATAAACGACTTAGCATATATGTGTCAAGCTAAGTTGTTACACTTCACATTAATATATAGCTAAAGAAAATCATTAAGAACAGTGAAATTAGTGCCAAACTATTGAGAAAATCAAACAAATGAAATTAGAAAGGAACAGATGAAATAGGGGAATAACCTACGATATTAGTGCTTGTTTATAACTGTATAGTTGAAAAAATCCAATTGTCAATCACTTTTATTATCTTTTGTACGTCAGCTTGATTGTTTGTATCTCTTAACACATCTCAAAACAATGTTTAATAATTTTAAAAACTTATGTCAACTTGCTTTCTCCCTACTCTTCTTCCGACCTACTCCTTTACTAACCAGGTTAACATATCACATTTGGTATTGACACACATGTCAACCATCTCAGTTGATAGAGATTCACGAAGTTATCAACCAGTTTACTTATCCTAATTTGTCCACCTTACCTCAATATTACTCATTTGATTATCTTGATATTTTCAAAGTCATCCGTTGTCAAATACGTGAAATCTGCATATGTAACCATAAGTCAAGTCTCGTCTAACTCGAGAATTTTTATAAAGATGAGAACCAGTTATATTAGTTTGATCATTGAAAAAAAAGCTTTCTTTCTTGAACGAGTATAAGAAACCTCTTCTCATGTGAATTATCAAACTATGGAAATGACAGAAGGTTAAATTAAACATTTTCGAATTATCCAACTTTAACTTCATATTCGTAACCGATTCAATATTGACATTGTGTTCAGAACGGAAATTGAATGACATCTGTGTTTTTGGCTCCGTTAAATTAAGTGTGTAATAATGCACACAGATATTTAAGCCATATAGTTTGTGTTAAAGAGCCAATAATGATTTCACTTGATTGTCTAGACCGAAATCAGTGAAACCCCGTGGGATTTGAACCTTGCAAACCCTCGATTTTTTTGGAAGTTAGATGGAATTTAACCATGAAGTCATTACCTCATTGGTGGTTCACCACATCAACCACTTAACTTTTGGTTTTTCTTAGAACGAAGACTTATTTCATAGACGTTTATCTAAAATCTTTGAGTACACTCATCTTTAAATTATCGTTTTTTATTTTGATATGTACACAAAATAGTTTAGCGAATCTGGTTTGTCGAACAGTGTCCAATCTGGTGGAAATAATTCTCAGCAATCTCTGAGGTATTCGGTTGTGACGACTTCCATCAGGTAAATAAAAATGGTTTTTTATCCGTTATTTTTATTTTCTCAGGATTCCCTGACAAATATTCCATTTATGTTCAATTTGAATTCTTAGGAAATACAATTGAAGATGGTCTTACACTACGGGTCAGACAACTGTTTAAAACCTTAAAGGATTAGTTAGTTGTTTCGTCTTAATATAGGGCTTCTCAGCAGTGCATGACGTTGTCCTTGTCTTGAATCAAACTTCATAATACCTGGGCTATCCAGTAGTCCACATTTTTCAATTCATTCCGTCTGCACAATCATCATTTACCACCACCACCGCCAGTATTAAATGTATGACTCCTAACTTGGTTGAACTCCGCCAGTCATAGCTTCTCACTAGAACTTCAGGAATGCTTCTAGAAGTTATATTAAAATAAAAAACCTAATCAGCATTCCTTGTTTTGTTATGATTGCTTAGCTAAAGTCAGACCTTGATGAAAACTATCTTTCAATGGAACAATAAAACAAACAATTTGAGTTAGTAATTACCAACGTCAATAACCTATGTATAAGAGTAAAGGGTTTTTCGTGAAATCTCGACCATCAACTGGGTTAGTTTGGTATCAGTGAAGTTTTGTAACCTCACTGGTAATTCGTCATAGTGTAAATATAAGGCTTGATGGGTATTCGGATCATGTTGATTAGTTATTTACGTTACATTGAACGTAGTATAGATATACAGTCGGCCTTTGCCTGTTGTCATATTTTATACAGACATAGCCAGTGAAGAAATTAACTAGAAATAAACAAAATGGTCCAGGTTTTCCATGGTGATCGAGCTTCAATTGACTCATGATTTCAACTATGAAAATACTGAAACATCCACAAAAACCCCTTCTGATCTATAATCATATGCTCACTAGTGACTGACTGTAAAGAATGTTTCCTTGAGTTCTAGTGGGAAGCAGTGACCAGTGGAGTTCAACCAAGTCTGTTGTAGAGATATCAACTCACTGAAGACAATTGGTGAACGGTATCTCAAACATCGTGGATCGGTTGAAGTTAGACATTAACACCGTTGGATGCCGGCTCAGTGGTCTATCGGTTCAGTGCTCTGTCGCGAAACTGGTAGGTCCTGGGTTCGAATCTCGCGAGTGTGGGATCGTGTATGCTCACTGCTGAGGAGTCCCATAATAGGACGAAACGGCCGTCCAGTGCTTCCAGGTTTTCCGTGGTGGTCTAGCTTCAATTGGCTCATGATTTCAACTATGCAAATAATATTAGTTGTAATGTTAAGCGAAACTTAGAGAAGATACTTCAAAATGAATGAAAAATATAAGAGGACGATAAGCATTAATTTGATATTCAAACTCAAGATTTGAAGTAAGCAGAGTAATGTATACATTCTTCGTTGTTAACACTGATTCTGAGCCACTTTTTTCCTTAAGGTTTTTTACCATAGATACTAGGGTTATTTCACGAAATGAGACACATAGTGTGGAGGTTCTGATATTTTTATGTCCTATTGGTTATGTAATCATATTATATTTAAAGTATGACTATTTCTTTCCTCCCTGCCCTCCCTTACCACTCTCTTATCTACAGTTCCGACAATTCCTTATTGTCTACATCGACTCCAGTGGATTTAATTAAAAATGGTCCATTATTATCTAGTCCTGATAAATCTCAATTCAGTCTACCATCATCATCGTCATCATCATTATTTATCAAATCCAATTCACCTAAATTACTTGAATCCAGTATAAATGATGATCTCATTAATTCTCCTAATTCTTCTTTTTCATTTCATTTTTATCATAATAATAATAATAATTGTTCATCTAAAACAACTTCTCCATTAAAATCAATTCATCAGACAACAAATGGATCATTAAGTGTTCTCATAACTGATGATAACCATAGTAACAATAATAATAATCATAATAATCATTTTGTTATACAAACACCTACAAAAGCATTAAGTGAAGCGGATCAATTATCATTTCATTTAACTAGTCCACCAGCTGTATTAGGCTCTGCTGGTCGTTATCCTGTTACTAATTTAAATCATAAAACAACAGATTTAGATAAAACTCCAATTGGTTCAAGAAATCCACGTTTTTCACAGATAAGAGGTGACGACGGTGCACCGTTACGTGTAAGTTTTGTGTATATATGTGATGTCAACTTTTGTTTTGTTTTGCTTTATGATGTTATGCATAGTCTTTTCAAATAAACACACTGACTGAGTTTATAGGAACTTTTATTTACGAAAATTAACGTAATCCTGTCTTAATCGTCTTCAAAATGCTTTCAGTTTGTGGCAATAAATGTGTTCTGTCTCCGCCTGCAGCTCCTCCGGGGGCTACTGCCGGTCCTAAGCCCGAGTAACGCAGGAGGGTTGGCAACAATAGTAGTCAAATGACATCTTATTTAAAAAGAAATTTACATTCCAGACCTATTTGATCATTTACTTTGAAAGATTTTATAATCTTACTCCGGTGCCTTTGAATAACTAGCTAAAGAGATCTAAAACAAAAGATTAATTAGTGAGACCAAACTATAAATATGACTCCGCCTGTAGCTCTTCTGGAGTTAATGCTGGTCCCGAGCCCGGGTAAAAAAAGGAGGGTTGGGCATGGGGTTTAGCGACCCCATCCCGTAGAAAACCAACTCGCTAAAAAAACTAACCAGAAAATATTATTCAAACCATTCCCATTGTCAAAAATAGTACCTGGGATTCTTACAAGTTAAGCATTTTTGCTGCTTTATCTTAGTTTCTTGTTTTAACATCCTAGCGTCAGCTTCTGCATAATCGTTTCGCATTTCAATAACAAAAAGTAATATCATGGAAGTGAGTCTAGTAAATAGGATGACGTAATCTATCTTTTAAACTTAAGTGTTCTACTAGTACCGTGTGCACAAACGATTTTCCCGATTTTAGTTCATCGAAAATCATTCGGATAGTGAATCATTATTCAGAAACCTCAGAAGGATTGTACATAATCTGTGTTTTCATCAACTCAAAAGGTCTACTAGCCGATTGTTTGAGGCTACGGCTAGCAATGACCAACGTAGCGTGATCCTTGACCTTAAGTTTCTACGGCTATAATCCAAAAGAACCTAACATTTCATTCAGTGTTTCATTTGTTTTTGGTGTACTTTTGTAAGACCTAATTATCGGGATCTTTGAAGGAAGGCAATCAATGTGCGGATAAATATCAATCTGTTCATTCAAAACCATAGTCAGGCACAATGCTATTGTTTACTCCATGTCGCTAAAGAAACTTCAATCTACTTCTTGTTATATATGTTTAGGGATTAATTTCAGTTACTTTATGTTACTGTCAATCATTTAGTGGTGATTATTGTAAAGAATGTTACAGTTCACTAACACTGACAATTGAGCTCCATTTGGTAGTATACTAGCATGTAGATTATGTCCACTTCAATTGATTCAATCTAATAATTCCTATGTTTAAATAGACTTTCATGTTGTCTATTTATCTTTATTAATAGAATCACGATGAAGCTGCGTAGTTCAACTGTGACTTAGTTTATTAACCCAGTTTTTATATATTACATATTTACTGATTTATTGTGTGCTACTTAATTACTTTTTATTCATATTTCAATGCTTCAGAGACCACTCTGTACCAGATTGTTTGATAATATTCCAAATGATACTTCTCTTCCTTCAACATCACTTTCTTCATCGTTTACGGTGAGTAATACTAATCGTAGTAATTTTTCCGAGAAAACTTCCTCAACGTTATCCTTATCAACAACATCGTATAATTCCTGTGATGAAGCTAAATGTATAGCTATTCTTACTGCTAAAGCAACAGTTTGGAATCGAGCACTTTTACCAACTACTTCTACGTCAACAACGGCAACATCTTCATTGTCAACATCTCAAAAATCTCATCTTTCTTATTTTACTGCAAATAATAATCACAATAATAACAGATTATTCAAAGATGAAAATGAGTTCAACATGAATTCATACCAGTCTCATAACTTTTCAATTACTAAAGATTCAATGATGCGTTATCATAATAATCTATATCCTTATAAATCATATTCTCAAATAGTCAATAATAATGTCAACTTTAATCCTCCATTAAGACCGTTAGAATTTTCTTCTAGAAAACAACCTCATTTAACACTTCGACGTATTGTACAAATAGCTAATGAAGTAAGTTTATATAATAGAAAGTTAAATCTATTATACCTCACTTATTTTATATAGACAGATAAATTTGTGTAAAACTTGGTTTATTATCAGAAGGGGATTTTGTGGAGATTTCAATATTTTTCAAAGTTAAAATCATGAGTCAATTGAAGCTAGATCACCATGAAAAACCTGGAAGCACTGGACGGCCGTTTCGTCCTATTATGGAACTCCTCAGCAGTGCGCATCCACGAACTCTCACTCGTGAGATTCGAACCCAGGACCTACCAGTCTCGAGCCAGAGCCCTTAACCGATTTATTAATTGAACACCATTAACAATAATAACAATAACACAAATCTATAATCTCAAATGACCATTTTTCAATGTTTAACTAACTGACGTGATTTTGTTGAAGTAATTTTGGCAATGATCAATTGCAGTCCAAAATAACAAGTAAACAACAACAAGTGAATAATTTTGGCACTGTTCAAACATATGATATACTAATCCAGATTTAAGTGGGTACTATGCATAATAAGCCACATCGTTCACGTAATATGCGGAAATTAATGATCTTCGTCAGTGCATTTGCCCTCGAGTTCGTACGGAGTTAAACCATAGACATTCCTATATCTTGTGAAAAACACATTAACCTTAAGTAATATGTTAATTTCACACAACAAGATACGTTTATAACTTCATGCTAAATGTAGTCATTTTCATCTTCAGGATTTCAATTCCTCTGATTTCTCACCGATTCTATCACAAAGTTAATTATCAGTTTATTTACTGAAGTAACTGGATATTAGTGTCAATAGTCATGTTGTACATGAAATGCAATTATGTATTTGACTAACAGTTGACATTTTCATCCATATTTAAATTGAACCATGAAATGTTGTGAGTTTTAAGGTTCTCCTCTAAGACAAGAAGTCAACATTTTGGAGATACTGTTGTAATTGATAAAATGATTTTGTATTGCAGTGTAGACTACCTTTAGAATTGATACCTTTTCCCAACCTTATTAAAGAAACAGAGCTTTAAAAATAACCGTTTTCTAACTTTCACTTATTAGTTTTCTCGATAGTCTTCTGAACATACATAGTTGTTATGCTGTTGTCTGGCTTGATTATCACAACAACGTTGTCGAGATATATAGTCTGAAAACCCATCTTTTTACTATCCTAGAAACTATTCATTTCATATGACTGGGTGACTAGAGACAGTCACTAGTATTACATTTATTTCATTTTCGTGTTTCCCGTCAATTTATGGAGTTTGCTTATGAACGGGGTGATCTCACGCTGTTAGACGTATAAGGGCATTTTCGGCTTCCGGTTGCCCATACAGTGGAAGGATATTTCTCGGAAGAATTTCGAAAAGAAACTGGGCGAGCGTTGGTTTTAGTGACCTAGGAGCGTAACCTCAGAGCCGAAGAAATAACTCCTCGAGGTCGATCACACATGACTTTTTTGCTGCGAGTTTTTGATATGTTAACTTTGTACTTCAGAACTCCTTACCACCGATGAAAATCAATAACTTAAGACAAGTTGTGACATGTTAGGACCAACCTTTTCTAACCCCTTTCATCCGTTGTGAGAAAGCAGCATCGTTGTAGATGCTGGTTATCCGAAAGACATACCTTACTGATGCCACACCCCTATATAGTCAATAGGACGACTTCGCTCTCGGATTATGCATTTTCTGTTTTTGGTTTTACCGTTCCCAAGCGATGTGCCTTACAAGAAACAAGCATTTCAGCCATTATAGCTCGATTGGACCATCATGATATGCAAGCCGGACCACCATGTCAGGGTAGGAGCTATGGTGTGTCTTTTTTTCCATTGCTACTACTACTACTACATCATTTTGGTCACTTTTATTACTTTCATGTCATCGTGCTAAGCAGGCATAGGAACATGGGCCAATGAACATCTGTGCCAGTCTCTATGTTAATTGTGTCTGTCTATCTATTCTATCAATCTCATTTTGTCTATTTTACGCTAGTATGACAACTTGATCCTCATACATATTTATCCCCCAGGTCCTTTATTATTTTTGGTTGATTCACACATTTAGGATTAACAGTCACCAATTAATGCTAATCGTCTATGTTGTCTGTGGCTGATTGTTTACTAAACGAATCATACACACTGAAAATATCGGAAAATACTAATATTTTGATAAAAGGAATCTAGTTAATTATTTTTTTCGTCATCCTAAAATGTTTTATTCAATATGCAGACATTTTAAATTCGTCCTATTTGACAAAAAAAAACATGTATTGGTTCACCGCAAAGATATTCCTTCTATTTTTTCATTTCCTATGATGTACCTCAAATAGGTTTTACAAAAATGAAGTGTGGTGGAGAAGATTTGTAGCTCATGTGGATGATTTTGATGGAGTTTTGTTCTTTGAGCTGGATGGTTTGGTCGTACTTCTGAAAGACATCATCAGCACAAACTTCAGGCAGAAGTGAAGTGTTCGAATTTGTCCACACGTGGTTCACAGCTTGTCCTGTACACCTCGATATTGATTGGTTCTTGTTGACCTTAAATCTGTCACTTTATTTCTTTGTTTTGGTTGTATCTCCCATTGAGAGAACGATGAAAACTCCACGACCAAATCATGTAGCTGAGAGAACAAAACTCCATCAAAAATGAAGTGTGCTAGTTCTTTTATGTAACTGCACCCGACCGTTGCTGCTACCTTGACGTGGTGGTCGGGCTTGCCTATAGTGATGATCCAATCGAGCTATGCTGGCTGGAACAATCGTTCCTCAAGGTCCTACCATGCCAGACAGGTCGGTTGAAGAGCGGTGAGACTAAAAGCAGCAAACCCAAGGTCCGAAGGCGAAGTCGTACTGCTGACTGTACAGAGGTATGAAAGCAGTAAGGTGTTTCCTTCAGACAACCAGCATGGCAGCGATGCTGCCTTCCCACAAGGAGGGGTGGGGTTAGAAAAGGTCGACCCTAAAAATGCACACCTCGCCTTATCCCACGGATTTCCGTCTCCGGCGGTAATGACTTTTGAAGAACGGAGCTAACACATCAAAAATCCCCCACAAAAAGGCCGTGCGTGACCGGCCTCAAGCAGATGTCCCTTGGGCACTGCGGTCACGCTCCCAGGTCGTTAAGACCAACACTAATCCAACTTCTTTTTCAGGTCCCTCAAGAAATACCCTTCCACAGTGTGGGCAGCCGGGAAGTGATATTAGCCCTCATACCCGTAACAGCACACAAGACCAAGTTGGTCGCTTTCAAATCCTTCCTACACCTAATAACTCCGTTATCTCCACGACTAACCCTTCCCACGTCCTTTTATCACCTCGCACCGCTAGGGCAAACGATTCGAGTACACAGAACGTTATTCCTGGTCTCCTGAAACCACGCTCTAAACTACATATAGGAACTTTTAATGTCCGAACATTGTGCCAAATAGGACAACAGGCTTCCTTAGCTAGGACTCTAGAATCTTACACCATCGATGTGTGCTGCATCTCCGAAACGCGCATACAAGATCGGAGTAGTGTCATTCATTTGACCGCACCTAATCAAAATAAAGTTCCATCTCGATACACGCTTCGTGTATCTGGAAGCCCTGATGCTGCTTCCCGTGGCCTCGCTGGAGTAGGTATAGCATTAAGTCCTAGGGCAGAACTAGCTCTTTTAGACTGGATCCCAGTAGACAGTCGTCTATGCGCTGTCCGACTAAACGGATCAGTAAGGACCCGGAAAGATAGGGAAACTCGTCGTTGCCTCTTCGTCGTCTCTGCCTACTCTCCCACTGACTGCAGCTCAGACGATATAAAAGATGAGTTCTACAGGAAACTTTCTGACCTTGTCCAAGAAGCTAGGCGTTCTGATGTAGTATTGGTGGCTGGTGACTTTAATGCTCAAGTAGGTAAACTAAGTGAAAGGGAAAGACACCTGGGTGGATCTTATGGTGTCATGGCGAAAAGAACAGATAATGGCGACCGTCTGTTGCAGCTATGCTCAGATAACCGCCTATTTCTTGCAAATACTAACTTTAAGCATAAGGAAAAACATGTTTTGACATGGCGACCCCCGAATTCGTCCCAACGTTGGACCCAATTAGATCACATCGCTATCAGCCACCGATGGAGGGGCTCGATAGAAGACTGTCGCTCATTCTGGGGCACATGTTTAGATTCAGATCATGCTCTAGTGCGAGCACGTATCTGTCTGCGACTTACTGGTCGTAGGAAAGACACTGCAGGGAAGCCTCTAAGGGTTCTACTTAATGATAGGCAAGCTAAGAATATATTTCAGGAACAACTAGGAAAACAGTTAGGCAGCCATGTAAGTTGTGTCCACCCCGAGGCAGCGTGGAATGACATCCGAAAAGCTGTGGAAACAGCAGTGATATCTACTAGTAAGGTAAACCATAACGTTAGGGAGAAACAATGGATCTGGGCAGCATCTACCGCACTGATAGATGCTCGTAAACTCATCCCACCTGGCTCTGAGCATAACGATGAGCAGAGTCAACTTAAGCGCAGGCTTATAAGAAGCCTACGTAATGATCGTGAGCAGTGGTGGGTAGCGAAAGCAAGAGAGATGGAAAAGGCAGCGGCAATAGGTAACAGTAGGCAGCTATTCAGACTCGTTAAAGAAACCCGAATATCAGTGAAACCATCTCAGATAAAGATGGGCATATTATTCATTCTCAATCCAGGAGATTGGATCGATGGGCAGAACACTTTAGGGATCAGTTCAACTGGCCTTCAGCCACACTTCAATTACCCACGATCCCCAGTCGTCCTGAATGGCAAATTTATGTAAGTCCTCCAACCCTCTGTGAGGTTGAAAAAGCTATAGGAAATCTGAAGCGAGGGAGAGCAGCATGTCCTGACAGGTTGACCCCTGAGATGTTTAAGGATGGTGGTCCAGTACTAGCAGTGAGATTGACTGAGGTCTTAGGTAGAATCTGGGAACTGGACGTAATTCCATCTGACTGGTCCCAATCACTGATTGTGCCAGTCTATAAGAAAGGACAAAAGTCCTCTTGTGACAATCACAGAGGAATCAGTTTGACTAATATAGTGTCTAAAATATTAGCTTCAATAATACTAGGTCGCCTAACCAAAGCTCGTGAAGAGCAGACTAGAGAAAACCAAGCTGGTTTTCGACCTGGACTTGGTTGCATAGACCAGATATTCACCCTACGTCAGGTTCTAGAACATAGACACAAATCCAGACGTCCCACAATAGTAGTGTTTCTTGACCTTAAGGCGTCATTTGACTCCGTTGATCGTGAGGTTCTATGGCAATGTTTGTCACTGAAAGGAGTACCAAAGAAGTACATTAACCTCATAAAGGCTCTCTACTCGAACACAACTGGTCGAGTTAGAGCCTATGGCGAACTGTCATCAGAACTGATTACCACAAGTGGCGTTCGTCAGGGCTGTCCACTCTCCCCATTCTTGTTTAACTTTGTCATTGACATACTTTTAGAGATAGCACTTTCATCAGCTAAACCTCCAGGAGTTGAACTTTTACCAGGAGGCTCACTTGTTGACTTAGAATACGCCGACGACATAGTTTTACTCGGTGAAGACGCTGACAGCATGCAGAGTCTTCTGACTACTATAAGCAACTATGCAGGCATGTTCGGGATGCGATTCTCTCCCTCGAAGTGCAAAATGTTACTTCAGGATTGGGTTGCATCGACACCTGAACTAATGATAGGGAGTGAAGTAGTTGAGCGTGTAGACCACTTCACTTATCTTGGGAGTCTCATCAGCCCTTGTGGTCTGGTGTGTGACGAAATCTCAGCACGGATACAGAAGGCTCGTCTAGCTTTCGCCAACTTGCGTCATTTATGGAGTAGGCGAGATATCCGTCTAGCAACCAAAGGACGGGTTTACTGTGCAGCAGTTCGCTCCGTCCTACTTTATGGCAGTGAAACATGGCCAATAAGAGTAGAGGATATTCGTAGACTACTAGTGTTCGATCATAGGTGTCTTCGAAGCATTGCTCGTATATCCTGGGACCACCGGGTAAGTAATGCAGTTGTTAGGAAACGAGTGCTAGGTAAAGATGGCAAATCGATTGATGAAGTAGTGAAACTTCATCAGTTGAGATGGCTGGGACATGTGTTACGTATGCCCGACCACCGACTGCCCCGACGTGCAATGTTTCATGGTGTAGGAGTAGGTTGGAAGAAAGCTAGGGATGACCAGACCAAAACGTGGCACAAATCAATGAAGTCACTGACAAGTGGACTGGGCCATGTTGGTAGGTGTAGACTACCTGGTTGGGATTCGCGAGATGACAGCAACCGATGGTTAGAGACCTTGAATGACATGGCTCAAAATCGTTTGCAATGGCGAAGATGCATCCACTCTTTGTGTTCTACCAAATTCTAATCTTCTGAATTCCTCATGTATTTATCTTTTTCTCTTTCCAAATTTATTTCACTGTACTATACTCCTTCAATAATTTCTTCAAACCCTAATCTTTTGGATTTCTGATTATACTCCTACTACTTCTACCACTATGGGAATTGAATCGACAACTGCATCTCTGTGCTAATGTGGTATGGCAACTCGAACTGATGTACGTACGTACGAAGTTCTACGTTGTGACTGACTGACTGACTTATGTAACTGCTACTTAATCTTAGAGCTTCAAAATTTGTTCATGTTATTTTTCTACTCAAAATCACGTTTTTCTCAATGTTGGATTATGACTTTTCAGTAAGACTGTACCACAAAACAGCATGTATTTATTATTATTTATTTAAACACAAAGGGACACCAGATATATATGCGCCTCACAAATCTCATTTCATTTCTGTGAGGGCTGTGATACTGCCCAGGTGCCCAAACTGAAGCAGGTGGTTTTCTTAGGGGGCCACAACCGGAGCCTTTGACATAAGGGTCTGATCCACAAGGTAGTAGAGCATCGTGAGGAGATGCAGTCCCATGGTAGCCGGTGACCAACGATTGTTTCATACACCATTTGTTCCCTCAGGATACTGAAGCCTATGTGCACCATTTGTTTGGAATGAGGGTTTTCCAACTCCCCTAGGTGTACATTCCGTGTCCATCAACACAGTTAAAGCTCCGGATATTCGCTTTTCTTCCTCTCAATTTCGTAAATAGCACCCCCCGCCACGAGAAGGTAGTGGGTATACGCGTGGCCGTGTGAGAGCATTTCGAGAGGGAGAGTGAACTCTCCCAACTCTCTGCCGTACCAGGTCATTTGGGGGTAAACAGCATGAATGAAGTGGTATGTGCCTAACGTTGTTTATAGTAGATCCATTGAAAGATCAAATTTATTACATTGTATATCGTACTTGTTTCATAAAGAACTGTTAGTATTATTGATCTAATGAATAAATATTTTCTTTTCAATCTTTCAAAGGATGATTGGCAAGACATTGCTTATGGTAATAATTATGCTACTCAAACATTAATTCAATTAGCTAAATCATTTACAAATAATTATCAACAACAACAATCCATTAATGAATTGAATGATCTCTCATCTCATTCATCATTATCTTCACCATTATTGCCTATCATAAAACGAACAATATCAAGTGAATCTATGAATCATTATTCAATCAATAATAATCAAGATTGTTGCTTCGAAGAACTAGAACAACCAATGGACAATTATGAATGAGAATGATTCTTTTTTTTATCTTCTATTTACTTCGTTTTTAGCATAGTATATTTTAAAATGTGACAATTAGATAATCCAATTGAATCACATTTCTTTATCAGAGTTTCAATCTTCTCTCTTTTCATTTTATTTCACAGTGGATTATTCATTTGTAATCATATGTTAGTTGTTTATTTACAGGAATGGATCTTTTATTGTATTCGATCAAAGAAGAACTTACAGTATTTTCCCCCTCATGTTCTCCTATACACATACTCATTGCAAACTCTCTAACCTTCAACTTATGATACAGTATTGGTACAGTATTAGAATTCAATCGCTCTTTCATGTCTATATTACATATTTTACCGCTACCACCTATTTTCTTCAAAGTTGATACTAGCCATTTTAAGTTGGAATAAAATAAACCCACAGTTTCTAGTTTTCTTTCATTATTATCATAAGTTATTAGACAATATTACTTAATATGAACGGGTGGATTTACGATGATAATGGTAATGAAGAATTTTGAAAGTTTGTATATCCTATGGCATTCAATTATCAAAAGATTTCACTTCAATCTTTATCCTCAATTCTTTAACCATGATCTTCATGGTTTTATGTATGTTCATTTCATTGGAAATCACTTATCAACTGGATAAACCTATTATATATATATATACATATGTATGTATCATTTTTCATCCTTTTTTCCGAGTGATTTATATATACTATCGAAAATTTTATCATATTACTGACAATACTACTCGTATTAGTAATATTAATAATACCTGGTTATACATTAACTAGGTGTTTTCTTTCTTCTCTAAACTAAGCAATCATGTGATATTCATTAGAATATATATATACATATACATATATGTGTAATTATGAATTCATCTTCACTATGAAATTAACTTAGGCAACCGTACTATAGTGTTAATCATCATTATTTCTTTTCTCACTATGTCATTTATTCACTTCTCTAAGGTTACTTTTTCTTTTCACTTCTTACTGTTTCTAAGTAAACTATGTTCATTGTTTCATTTCGCTTGTAATTATTATATGAATTAAGTGTTACCTCATCATTTACTTTGTAATGACTGTAGTAATAAGTAATGGAGGGGGGGAGAAACAACTCAAAAGGTTTAAGTGTATTACTGTAATACTTTGTGTTGTATAGATTCAATAAACAAGTATACTTTTGTATATTATATCATAAGTATTACTTACTTACGCCTGTTACCCCTCGTGGAAGAGCATAGACCGCCCACCAGTTTTGGTTAGCGTTTCTTCAGTGAGTTAGTTTTTTACATGATAGGGTCGCTAACCCCCATGTACAACCTTCCTCCTTTACCCGGGCTTGGGACCGGCAGTAACTCAGGCAGAGTTATCATAAGTATTAATCCATATTTATCGTCATTACATAAAAGTGCTCCCTTTTTTTCATTTCAATCTATACATATTACACTATTCAACTGTTATAATACAATATGATCTATGTTCTCTATCTATGTCATTTGAAATTTACTTATCCATCATCTTGTTTTATTGGCTTACTTTATATATATATATATATATATATATATATATATATATATATATGTATATGAATATTTCCAAATTGATTCTTATACAAATAAATAAATCAGTTTTATAAAACAAAAAAAGTGTTATTACTTTTTTATTGTTTGTTTTGTTGTTCACATGATCTGAGTGTACTTTTTTTAGATTTCCGGTTAGCGTTTTTTTTACAGAATGGGTTGCTAATCTCATGCACTCCTAACTATCCTCTTTTACCCCGGGCTTGGGACCGGTAGTAATTCTAGAAGAGCTATAGGTGGAGTTATTATTGAATGTATCTCATTTATATTGATTGTAAATTTGGGTGACTGGGAAACAAGTACTATTATTAATACTACTACTCATGGTTGTTCAAATCAAATTAGTGGCGTAGATCTGGATTGCGATCCTGACAAGAACATTTTTACGTATTTTGATTATAGATCTTCTTGTCAGTTAGTCAAAACGTAGAACTTCGTACGGACGTACATCAGTTCCAGTTGCCATACCACATTAGTACAGAGATGCAGCTGTCGATTGAAATCCCATAGTGGTAGAAGTAGTAAGAGTATAAACATTAATCCGAAAGATTAGTGTTTGAAAATGTTATTGAAGGAGTATAATCCAGTGAAATAAATTTGGAAAGAGAAAAAAGGAAGGGATATGTAGAATTCAGAATATTAGAATTTGGGAGAACACAGAGTGGATGCACCTTCGCCATTGCAAACGATTTTGAGCCATGTCATTCAAGGTCTCTAACCATCGATTACTAACATCTTGCGGATCCCAACCAGTTAGTCTACACCTACCAACATGGCTCAGTACACTTGTCAGTGACTTCATTGATTTGTGCCACGTTTTGGTCTGGCCACCCCTAGCTTTCTTCCAACCTACTCCTACACCATAAAACATCGCACGTCGAAGCAGTCGGTGGAGATCTTTTTGTAGTGTGTTACAAAAGAGTAATGTTTAAGTGCTAAATTCAAAACGACAAGTTAATTATTGAGACTGTGTCTCTTCATTAAATGAGGTGCCTGTAACGTGCCGTTAGTAAATCAGACTATTCTCACTCTAGCATAATTTTGTTAACTATAAGAATAGATTGGGAAAAGGTTAGGAAATGGCTACACCAAGTAATAGTATCAGTTCATGAAGTCATTGACTACCAATGTGCACTGTATCGCAAAATGTAAGGTTCTTGGTTAAAGCTTACGGAGATGTGATAAAGAAATGCTAAAAGACATTAAAAATTATGTGTTAATATAAAGAAATTAGTCGTTTATTATGGCCCATATAAATCCTCCTTACGTTTTCAGAAATGACTTTCTGTAGTGGAGTAAGTTTCTCTGCTTCCAAAGAAATTATTTCTTTGAAGATATCAACTCACTGAAGACAATTGGTGAATGGTTGCTCAAACATCGTGGATTGGTTGAAGTTAGACATTCACACAGTGGTCTATCGGTTCAGTGCTCTGGCTCGAGACTGGTAGGTCCTGGGTTCGAATCTCTCGAGTGCGGGGTCGTGTATGTGTACTGCTGGAGAGTCCCATAATAGGACAAAACAACCATCCAGTGCTTCCAGGTTTTCCGTGGTGGTCTAGCTTCAATTGACTCATGATTTCAACTATGAAGATTCAGTATTTGTCTAATAAGCTATACAATAGTTGTTCCCCCTCCTAAGAAAAAATATCTAACCGGAATGAACAAGTGAAAGGTGTATAATGATACATTAACATTTTGTGGCAAACTCCTATAATCGGGAAAATACTAAACAAACTGGACCTTCAGAACTATTCAACCTTAACTTATTGCTTAAATTTTTGTCTTATTACTATACCTTGAATGATTGTATCTTTGTATTCCCTTACGTGTAAGCTGTCGTTTAACAACATAAGCTATTGTTGTGTTTTTTACCTATCACATTGCTCTCTTTTACTGATTGTATAGTTATATCTGTATTATAGTTTCTTATTCATATTGATGTGTGGTCAAAATTTTCACTTTGTATTAAGTGTTGAGTCATAAGTATGCACTGCATGATTAGAAGTTACCTAGTTTCTATGTTGTCTTCTGTTCTAGTTATTGGACAACTAAGCGTTGGAGCAGTTTTCTGGATCAATAGTCGCTAAATATTGGTCTCAGCTATCATTATATCATTGGTACCAGATAGACAATATATACGAAATAATCAGTATTCAGATATCATACAGCTGCTACCATGTGACTACAGTCCGATCATATAAGCCCCACATAACCCTAGTATCTGTTTTCCCTTAGTCATGTCAAAACAAAACATGGATGTTTCTGGATCTTATTTAACACCTCTTATGTTTTATAAATTCAAATAAGAATAGGACTAGTTGTAATTAGTACTACTGTGGCGAATAAGAACTCAGCTTGAGGAAAATCAATTTACTATTTCATGCAAAATTACACAATGCCTTTGTAAATTATGAAGACCATGCATTAAATACATTATTTGAACATCTTCCTTCAGTTGGCCTGTATGTGCTTCATGATTCTTCTAATTCTGTTGTTATTATAATTGCTCTCCAGCTATATGTTCAGGTTATGAGTGTATTTGATTTTATTTTACTAGTTCCTATTTCATACTCATTAATGTGATCAGAGAACGTAAAATGTCAAGGAATCGAATAATTAGTGGAATAACTCTCCCATATAAAGTCAGGTAAACCTAGTCATTCATGGGTAGTGTGTAACGTAATTTTGGATAACTGAACGCACTAAGGTCAGTCAGCCTACACTATACAGGAGTATTTCCTTCTACACATTGTCTTTTTCACCCTAATACCATAAACAGTAGGGGTGAATTCATGGAGAAAGAATGCTGAGTCTATGAGTTTTGTATTCTCTAACGGTGTACAGCCTTGATAGTTTCATACAATATAAAACCTCCTTGTCTTCTGAATTCAGTGGTTTTCATGAATTTAAGTTGAAAGTTCCACAAGTTAAGGATACATTCAAAAACTCGTCTTAGTTTATAAATTTTTAATGTGTCACGGCCTAGAATCTTCTAATCTGATTGCCTGGTTGAGATCTGTTGGATGAGATGACTCAGAACTGATCTGAGTGTCACGGATTAATTTACTTTGTCTTGTTTCGATATCTCTCCATAGATGACTTTACGAATTGTATTTGTCAGTACATTGTCTTTTCCTATTACCATTCTTACCTCTGTTATCTCTCCTTTCTTAATTCCTTTCATTGTACTGGTGCTACATCACAACCTCTGTGTTTATTATTTCAGTTGTTTCCGCTGTCGATTTCGTTTGGTTACAGAAGCTTTCTTTAAATAGAATTAATCTAGACTAACTACACAACTATGAGTATTATCTAATCATACTTTTGCACTGTTGATGGTAATATTTACTTACTTACGCCTGTTACTCCCAATGGAGCATAGGCCGCCGACCAGCATTCTACAACCCACTGTGTCCTGGGCCTTCTTTTCTAGTTCTATCCAACTTTTGTTCACTCTTCTCATGTCTGTCTCAATTTCTCGTCGTAATGTGTTCTTTGGTCTTCCTCTTCTCCTTTGACCTTCAGGGTTCCATGTGAGGGCTTGTCTTGTGACGCAATTGGGTGATTTCCTCAAAGTGTGCCCAATCCACTTCCAGCGCTTCTTCCTGATTTCTTCCTCCTCTGGAATCTGGTTCATTGTCTCCCACAATAATTTGTTGCTGATAGTGTCAGTCTACTGCCGGTCCCAAACCCGGGTAAAGGAAGAGGATTAGGCATGGAATTAGCGACCCCATTCCGTGGAAAACCAACTCGCTAAAAAAACGCTAACCAGAAAAATAATTCAAACCATAATGATCATGTTAATACTACTTATATAGAGTTTAAGACTGTTCAATTGTAGTCCTAAATAACTTCCGTTTTAGTAAGTTCTCGAGGTTGTCTGTAAAATAAAAAGCCGAAAATGTTGTAAATTTAACTTTGTTTCATATCAACCTAATCTGAGTCGTTTGCTTAGAACTTTAAAAGAAATGTGATGGTTAGGACTGTTTTATTCCAAGTTCCGTTTTTCTTCAGTGTTAATCAATATCAACTGTATGCTACATTGTTAAGTATAGTAAAAATTCTTAATATTTAAGAAATGTATCTCAAGATATTATCATGAAACACTAAAGGTTAACCAGTAGCTGAGTGGATAACGCAAAGGCGTTTGAAGCGAACAGTTTTGCGTTCGAGTCCCATAGTGAACATCAACTCTAAGATGCAGGTTCATCCAGCTGACCAGTCCCAAGTAGGAAGAAACACATCCTGGATTCCATTACTAGCCACTATCCATCTTTGCTTATAAAGCTTGTGACTTCACTCAATATCGAGGCAGTCCGCATAGGATGCACATACGCCAACGAATGACTAATCAATTGCAGTCCTAAATAATAATGGGAAGATACTAATATACAACAACAAGTGAATATAACTTCACCCCATTGCACAATTAGGTGGCTATCAGGACTCAGCAGTTGAGTGGATAACGCAATGATTTTTGAAGCGAAAAGTACTGGGTTCGAGTTCCAGAGTGATCAACAACTCTGAGATGTGGCAGGTACATCCAGCTGACGAGTCCCAAATAGGACGAAACACACGTCTTGGATTCCATTGCTATCCACTATCCATCTTTGTTTATAGAATGTTTATAGAATGTAAATATTTTCACAACTTTTGTAAACATAAACAAACAATTAGTCTTTTATTTTTGTATTAAATTTCACAACAGATGATACTATTTACTAACAATTCATTTACAATCGTTTTTTGTAGTGTATTATCCTTGAATTCTAGTGAATACATTCATTTACAAAATAATTAATCCATATAGTTTCAATGATTGAATCTAATCCATCTACAATACTGTTTATGCTAACTAGGGGTTATATACAACAGCAATGTATTGGTTATATTTGTTCTATCAATAATGTCAATCAATGTATATCTTCACAATAATAAAATAATGAATGAATTATCTCATTATTATGACAAATAATGTGCAGTTTTAATTGTCAACAGTTAGTTCTATAGGTTATAATGGTAACAGTCCTAATTGTTGTTGTCTAGACCAAATT